TTTGGAAAAAGCTCATCTAAAATAATTTATTGGTAGTCAGTATCTTGTTTACTGGATATTCAGTTTGGCGAGATATAAGCAATTACTCAGCAGCCAAACAGTTAAAGCTTTCAAAGAATTAATGAAAAACAGCATAATGGAAAACCTATTACAAGAATTAGGATATTATACGTACAAAAACAAACACACAGAAGGTAAATTCATTGATAATTTTATTAATACAGATTATTAATAATACTAGTAAGTTAGATTTATTTTTGTAAGAGGGACAAACGTTTTAAACAAACTAAATCATAAGAAACATGTTTTGCATTTATGTGCACAAATCCATTTAATTTTGACATTTTCCACAGCATGTAATTCTCCTTTCTTATGTTAAACAAAAAAATCTTACTAAATTTAAAGAGAACTGATTAAGTTTATTTTAGGTTAAGTAGTTAGCACACAGGATCCCCTACAAAAGTTGTAATATTTTCAAAACGAGACCCAAAACACGAGCGCTTTTGATTATTTGACTATTCTTCTTCAACTAATCAAAAAAAGCTCAAGTTTAGGGCCTAGTTTAGAAAATATTAAGTCTGTTTTAATCAGCCTTTTGCAAAAATAACTCATCATCAGTAACCTTAGTTTTTTAAAGGATATTAATATGAATTTTTTTTAATATAATGTGCCATTTTTTTTATTAATACGCTTTTCAATTGATACTGTCAGAAAAACTACTTAATAGCCCTATAGAATTTTGTTTTGAATTATTGTAAGGTTTTATTATTCACTAAAGGCATACTGAAATGTTCATTTTCTCCTTATAATGTCTTATTCAGATATCCTTGCTCAGTACTTGAAAGAAAATAAAGAGTGTTTCAAGTTTAAACAAGTATTAGAGATGTCCAGACAAGATTAGATAGTTCATAAACATTTTTTTGTCTCTGTAAAAAAATATAATTGTCAATTGTAGACAACAGACAGGAACAATTAGAGTATAAGTATTAAACTGGAATCTTAAAGTATTGTAATTCAATCTTACTTGGTGTATAACCTCTTTAGCATTTTCCAGAATTTTATATTCATGTTTATATTTACTTATATGTCACTTAGTTCCCAAAGTCCTTGAATCTAGTGAAACTGTTTAAGAAAGCGTATAAACTATTTAGTGGCTAAATATTCAGTTATTCAGTCAAGTGACATGGCTAGATATTCAATATCAGGCTTAAACATTATCTATTCCATTTTTAATTTATAAGACAACTTTCAACATAAATAAAGGTTGTTTTTTTAAGACTCTTAATGTGAGTAAGTGAACATGTAAAATTATACATGGACTTTTCTCTACCTTAAAATACCTTTATTTTATTTGCGAGCTTTTGCCCCTCTTACTGGAGACTTCATCAGGCAACAATGTAATGAGTAAAATGTGATAAGTACATTGTTGCCCAATGTAGTTTAGTGTAGAAAACAGTTAGTGTATAATTCTACATAAAGAAAGGTCTCTATTGAAAGCAAAATAGCATTCTTAACAACCATTCTTTTCACTAATGTTATGTTCAATAAGGAATGTTCATTTAGTACATATTCCCTGTTTAAATTTTTATATATATATATATATATATATACACACACACACACACACACACATAT